GTGCTATTCTGGTAATTAATTCGAAATGGGTGCTATTTTGGTAAAAATTTAAAAAAAGGGGTGCTATTTGTGTAAAATGTTCAACAGTTTGTTGACCTCCTTTGACCAGAACTTTGACCGGCTTTGACCGGCTATTAAACGATCGTTAATCTTTTCCGAGTATACCTATCCTGATAGTTTTCGACGTGCCGAATCCGTTTCCGTGGTCCGTTTTGTCAAATTCGAACCCAAAGATCTCCAAATCAACGGTCAAAGTGGTTGACTTTGACTTTGACCAAGAATTTGAATTTTGGAAAAGTCATAATTTATGTTTTTCGACGCCCTGATTCCGATTCCGCAATCCGTTTGGCCAAATTCAGACTCGAAATACCTCAAATTGATAGTCAAACCCGACAAATGCTTATATACTTAAGAAGTTTAGCTTTGAACAATTAAATAGGATTTGGGACTGATAAATATTGTTTGAAGGTACAAGAGACTCTCCGGATCGTTCGACAGCTCGACCCAGCTCTTCTAGATCAGTTAAACCATGTGTGCCAGTATTCACCCGTTCGAAAACTGTAGCAGAGCGTGGTGAAACCAGCAATCAGTAGATTTGCTATTTGAATCTATTGTCGAGGTGTGTTCCATACTTATTATTGAACTTTTTATTGGTTTTAATATGTGGTACACTGAATTTATTGGTTATTGTTTTATGGATGCACCAATTTAATGTGACAATTTATGGAATATGGCTGCTATCTAATTTTTGTTTTGAAATGGTATATGATTACCATGTTTTGGATTTATGGAATTTATGTCACGGTGCAATTGAATTTTGGAATTGAATTACGATAGAATAGCTCTGATCAAGCTAACTGGGCCTAATGTGACTCTTGAGGGCCCCAAGATGTTTCATTAGGTCGGCTTTCCTTTGCTGTGTGCTTAGTGTAAGCTATATGGACTTATTGACTTGGGCTTAAGGATACAAGCTTCAGAGCCTATCCTTAAGTCGGCTTTCTTTTTACTATGTGCATAAAGTAAGCTATATGGAAAATAATTTTGAGAACTACTGATGGTGTACCAGAAAAGGGTTTAAACTATGATTTCCAAAAGTTAAACTCTTTTACGAATTTGTGAGATTACTGGACTATGATTTGTACCTATTGTGATTTTATGGAAATGTTGGGACACTGAGCCTAGCTCACCTTTTGAAAATGTTTTCCCCCTTTCAGATACTGTTGGTTAGATACCTCGGTTCGAGCACTTGGAGGATCAACATATCTCTTGAAGTAAATCAGATTGTAATGTTTTTATCTTGCAAGTTGACTTTATTTTGGTGACATGGACCTTATTTTAAAATATCGAATTTTATAATGATGACTCTTTTGCTAATACTGCTCGGTTTATTGTGATTTTGAATTTGAAGACATGTTTTAAATTAAATTATTATTTATTTGTACTATATTTACGAGTTGGATTTTGATAGTATAATTTGTTTATAATTTCATGTTATTTATAATGTGATTTTATATTGATGGAATAACGGTTTCGGAAAATGTCTTTAATAATCATAATGTGATCCACTAGACTTAGTCGAAACGCATAGGCCGGGTCTAAGGGGTTACACCTTTGTTTTGAAAGTGCGAGTTCTACATGTTATTAGTTGCGAGCGCATACAAAACACGACAAAAGATATGTGCTTCATCAAAAAACTTCCTTAATCCTACATGGAGGAAAAATTGTATGTCATACCTCTATCGGATACAACTCGAACAAGCCATACTGATTTTGTTTTTTTTGAGTTGTAGCTTTTTCTAGGTTGTGTTGTACTCTTTTTCTCCATTTAAATTAGGTTTTCAATAAGGCACACAACTTAAGCACTACAACAAAATTGTTCTACTACGGCGTTTAGAGAGTAAACGCCACTAACTTTAAACATATAGCGGTGTTTACATTCCAAATGCCACAAAATGGTAACTTTAGCGGCATTTTTTATACAAAATGTCACGACAGAGTATTCCTTTAGCGGCGTTTGTATAAAAAATGCCGCAATAGGGTTCATCTATAGTAGTGTTTTTTCAATAAAGTCGTAATAGGGTTCATCTATAGTGGAGTTTTTATACAAACGCCACAATAGGTTCATCCATAGTAGCGTTTCTCAACAAACGTCGCGACAGAGTAGTACTTTAGCGGTGTTTGTATAAAAACACAACAATAGGGTTCATCTATAGTAGTGTTTTTCAACAAACGCTGTAACAGAGTAGTTCTTTAGCGGATTTTTTATACAAATGTCGTAATAGGGTTCATCTATAATGGCATTTTTTTCAACAAACGCCGCTAAACACGCGTAGTTTAGTGGCGTTTATATAAAAACATCGTGACAGCCGGATATATAGTGGTGTTTGTGTAAAAAAACGCTGCTATAAATGCATAGCCAATAGAAACCCTCCCAACGCAGATTTTAAGAACTCACACACTATTGTCAAAGCTTTCTCTTTGTCTATTCCATTTTAGGGTTTTTGAATGGAAGGAGCATCGTAGCAGCGATTATGATCTCCGAGCTTAATGATGACTATGTGAAGTTTGAGCTTTGCGACACCGACGCCTCCATAGCCAACGCCCTCTGCCGCGTTATGATCGCCGAGGTCCCCACCATCGCAATCGACCTCATCGAAATCAAAGGCAACTCATCCGTCCTCAACGACGAGTTGATTGCCCATCGGCTCGACCTCATTCCACTCACCAGCGAATGCGCCATGTCGATGCAATTCTCCCGTGACTGCGACACTTGCGACGGTGACGGGCAGTGTGAGTTCTACTCCGTCTAGTTCCATCTTCGTGCCAAATGCATGAGCGATCAGACCCTCGATGTCACTAGCAATGATCTCTACAGTTTTGATCATACGGATGTTCCCGTCAATTTTACCGATTCTGCTGGTTACGATTCTTCTGAGCAAAGGTATTTAGGATTAAAATTTTGAGAGATATTTCTAATTTTATAGGGATGGTAGCTTGTTGAATACATGCATTTCTGAATTTGTTTATCATGCAAATTATTTTTGAATCCGAATTACTTAAATTATCCGGATATAATTTTTGAAGATGTCAAAACTGTATCTGAAATTCTTTTTATCAATTGTTCTGCTTTTTTTTTTTCATGTAGACGCATACTTGATACTGTATCCAATACTCACAACTTAACCGACTAACATAAATTTGAACTCTCAATTAAGATGTGTTTTAGTCTATTTAACCTACTTTGCTAGTTTTTAAATTGTTGCATCCTTTTTAATCTGCACCCATAGCCTAACTTCTGTGATTAATCTCGATGCCACTTAGGTGACTAAAGATCTTAGTCGGCATCATTTTATCATCATCCATGCCATGTCCCATCATCTGAGACTGATCCCACCACATTTTGCATAACTAAGATCTTGACCGCCATCGGATTAAAGACTTTGTAATGCTGTCATTTGATAATTTCTGCATTTGGCTTGTTTCATGGAAGGAACATCTGACTTCGTAGTCTTCCAGGCTCTCAAGGAGTTTCCTAAAGGACTCGACATTGTGTACGAATGTGTTGATGGTAACATTTTTTATTTGTGCCTTAATGCTTTGGCTATCCGTGGGCGACTCATTGTGATAGGAATGATCTCTCAGGTTGGCTTTGAGAATTGCATTGCCATCATATTATCAATACACTTTGGAATTAATAAACAACGAAAACTTCATTGATTTAGATTAATTATGATGATACAAAATTTGATTTGAAATCATAAAGAATTTTAATTAAAAATTCATATATAATTTATATAAAATGAAATTCAACCCCAAAATCTTAAATTTCTTTAATGTGGTATAAATAATTTATTATATCAAAAGAATTCTCAAAACCTCAACCATACCTTAATATATTTCCAAAATACAAGTATGCCAACACTAGTCTTAATAATGATATAAATAATTTATTTAAGCACGAATCATGTGACCTCTATAGTAATAGAATTGTTGTTACCTCTTGAGTATTTGGGTTCGAGCACCATAAATGTTAGGGATATGAGCGTTCAATGTAAAAAAGTTGAGAGTTATCTTTGAACTGATATAAATTATTCTTGTGTAAGAATAAGAGAAAAAAATTTGGGAGGGTTTAAGTAACGGTTGACTAATTTAAGGTTAAGGAACGACAAATAATAGATACAACAGAAAATGTTATAAAAAGTACAACATCCTCCTACGAATCATCCTCTTGAAAATGGCCATTATCATCCTCAAGAAACGTGTGAATATGAAGTAGAAATTCCATCTGGGAAATGCGATGAGACTTGGTTGAAGTCAGAGAGTAATCTATTTCCATTTGAAACCGAGGTTCCCTACTTTCCATTATCATCACCAGCTACTCTCTTTAAAAATACCATTATCAACGCTGTCCTACAAGGTTCAACTTTGATGACGACAATGTTGTTATTCTTGTTATATAACTTAATCGGTGCTATTTAACATATATATTAATTTTTTAAAGATTATAATAAATTCTTAAGTTAGTTTGGCCCTCTACAAGAAATTTCGTCCTTGAAATTTACCTTATGAGAATAGTTGAGGAAACTGAGCCTCCATTGACTCCAATGTCTCCCAAGTAGCTTCTGAGGGGCCCTCGATTACTCCATTGAACTTTGACCATTGGAATACGCCTATTCCGAAGAACTCGCTCATCTCTTTCTAAGATCTGGATGGGCTCCTCCTCATATGACAAATCAGGTCTCAGCTCTACCTCATCAACTTGAATGATGTGAACTGGATCTGAACGGTATCGCCTTAACATAGACACATGAAAAACATCATGAATACGACTAAGATGGGAAGGCAACTCAAGCTGATAAGCAACAGGTCCAACTTTCTTCAGAATACGATACGACCCAATAAATCGCGGACTCAATTTACCCTTACGTCCAAATCTCAATACTTTCTTCCATGGAGATACCTTGAGAAAAACCTGATCTTCAACGTCAAACTGTATATCCTTCCTCCTTTGATCTGCATAAGATTTCTGCCTATCAAATGCCTCTTTCAGACGGTCACGGATCAATCTGACTGTGTATTCCGTCTCCCATACTAACTCAGATCCCAAAGTCTTCCTATCACGCAACTCAGTCCAACAAATCGGGGTGCGACACCTACGCCCATAGAGTGCTTCATAGGGTGCCATACGAATGCTGGTCTGGTAACTGTTATTATAAGTGAATTCAGCCAAAGGCAAAAAGTTCTCCCAGCTACCACGAAAATCAATTACACAACCCCGTAACATATCCTCTAGAATCTGAATTACTCTCTCAGATTGACCATCAGTTTGTGGGTGGAAGGAGGTACTATAATCCAATCTCGTACCCAAAGCCGTATGTATCGCCTTCCAAAATCTCGAAGTAAATCTCGAATCTCGATCTGAAATGATAGATAACGGAACACCATGCAATCTGACAATCTCTGAAATATACAACCTCGCCAACTTGTCTAACGTATAATTTATCCGTACAGGAATGAAGTGAGCTGACTTTGTAAGTCTGTCAACAATCACCCAAATTGAGTTCTTTTTCGAAGGAGTCATAGGTAAACCAGTAACAAAATCCATAGTAATACGCTCCCATTTCCATTCAGGAATCTTGATAGGTTGTAACAAACCTGATGGATGTTGATGTTCTGCCTTAACTTGCTGACAAGTCAAACACCTCGCCACAAAATTCGAGATGTCCTTCTTCATGCCGACCCAATGATACCTCTCTCTCAATTCCGACATCTTATCTCCACCGGGGTGCATAGCATATGGACTACTATGAGCCTCAGTAAGGATAGTCTGCCTCAACTCAGCATCATCAGGCACACAATACCGACCTTTGAAGCATAAAACTTCATCCTGATCAAGGGCGTAATCTGAGCTTGTCCCTTGCTCTACTTTCTCAAAGATGGAAAGCAAGGAGCTATCAAGGGGCTGCTTAGCTTTGATCTCATCAACCAAGGTCGGCTTAACTTGTAATTCTGCTAACAGAGTGCCATCGTCATATAAATTCATCCTGGCCATTAAAGATCTCAACTCTGTTACCGCCTTTCGACTCAAAGCATCCGTTACAATGTTAGCTTTACCAGGGTGATAATCAATCACGCAATCATAATCCTTTAGAAGCTCTAGCCAGCGTCGCTATCTTAAATTAAGCTCCTTTTGGGTCAGAAGATACTTTAAGCTCTTATGATCCGTGAAAATGTAACACTTCTCTCCATAAAGATAGTGTCTCCAAATCTTCAAGGCAAAAATCACTACTGCTAACTCCAAATCATGAGTAGGATAATTACACTCATGTGGTCGCAGCTGACAGGATGCATAAGCCACCACCTTACTTTCCTGCATTAGAACACAGCCGAGTCCTGAGTGTGACGCATCACTATACACTGTAAAATCCTTCCAGACTCTGGTTGAATCAATACTGGTGCTTGAGTCAATACCGCCTTTAATTTCTCAAAGCTCTCTTGTTGTGCCTCACCCCAGTCAAACAACACATTCTTCCTTAACAACTTTGTCAAAGGAGAAGCAATGATAGAAAAGCCCTCAACAAAACGTCGATAATAACCAGCCAAGCCCAAGAAACTGCGAATCTCAAAGATATTCTTGGGTCTTTTCCAATTCACAATAGCTTCAATCTTGCTTGGATAGACCTGAATACCTCGCGCAGAAATAATATGCCCCAGAAACGACACTTCTTGAAGCCAAAACTCACACTTGCTTAGTTTGGCATATAGACGATGCTCTCTCAAAGTCCGCAGAACGATCTTCAAATGCTAGTCATGCTCTGCCTCAGTACGAGAATAGATCAGAATATCATCAATAAAGACCACCACAAATTAATCCAAATATGGTCGGAACACCTGATTCATCAAATCCATAAAAACTGCAGGAGCATTCATCAAACCAAAAGGCATCACTAAGAATTCATATTGACCATATCTAGTGCGAATGGTCGTCTTTGCAACATCATATCCTTTAACTTTCAATTGATAATACCCCGAACAAATATCAATCTTAGAGAATACAGTAGCTCCTCGCAACTGATCAAATAAGTCATCAATCCTGGGTAGTGGATATTTATTCTTGACCGTCATCTGGTTCAACTTCCGATAGTCAATACATAATCTTAGCGACCCATCCTTATTTTTCACGAACAGAACTGGAGCTCCCCATGGTGAAGTACTATGCCGAATAAATCCTCGATCGAATAATTCTTGCAATTGAACCTTCAAATCCTTAAGTTCTTTTGGAGCCATGTGATAAGGTTCCATAGAAATAGGTGCAGATCCAGGATAAGTCTCTATCTCGAACTCTACCTCTCTATCAGGAGGTAAACCAGGCAACTCCTCTGGAAAGACATCAGGAAACTCGCTAATTGTACGGATCTCTTCGATCGTGGACAATGAACCTTTAGTGTTCAAAATACAAGCAATGAAAGTCTCATATCCCTTCCGGATCATACGATCAATTTCCATCGCTGAAACTATATTGGAGAGATAGCCACGCCGTTCACCAATTAACACAACAGTCCGACCATCTGAAGTCTTTAGAGTAGCTCGCTTGTATTCGCAATCCAGATTTACCTTGTGTTTATTCAACCAATCCATCCCAAGAATTAGATCGAACTCCTCTAAAGGAAGCTCCATAAGATCAGCGAGAAAAATTTCTCACTGAACCTCGAGAGGACAACGCCGAAATACTTTATTCACTAATTTCTCACATATTATGTAACGACCAATTAATTATAAACTAATCAAACTACTAATAGAAAAATAAAGGATACAATTCAATTTGTAAAATCTTTTGTGAGGTGTTATTCTTGTTATATAACTGAATCGGTGCTATTTAGCATATATTAATTTTGTTAATATTATGATAAATTCTTAAGTAGTTTGGTGGTTGAGTGTTTAGTATTACTTCATAGAGGTCTTTAGTTTGAATCTCTTTAAAAGTATAGTTTTTCATAAACAACGACGTTGTTTTTGGCTTTTTAAGCATCAAAGAGTTACGTTAAAAAACGTTTTGGTGAGGCAACCACATCAACAACGTCACGACACACAACAGCCACGTTTTTTCAAATTTCTCAAATTTCTCGTCGTTTTTTCAAATAAGATAATGTTATTTTATTATGGTAGTAATGTGATGGTGTCCTAATTCATTGGATGTTATCTTTTTAATTAATCTTGAGAGGAGGGCATCCTTCGCAAAATTTGCATTCATATAAGGATTATATTGGATGTTATCTTTTTAAATTGTAAATTTAAATATGATGGTGTCCTAATTCATTACATGTTTATGATATTCTCTAATTGCTTCAGCTTGAATCAAGATTCAATTGATAACATTGAGGCAAATGCCATGCTCAATATTCAATCCCTAAGTGAGAAATGGGCATCAAGATATTATAAGGAGTTCTCGCCGGATCCCCTACCAAAACTGATTTGTTGTTTCCCGGGAAACAAAATTTCAGCAAATAGGTTTGAGAATCATAGCATGAAATCTTCCTTGAATTTGAAGATAGCCCCAAGTGGGCGTAGTGGGAGCAGATTCTTGGTTTTTGCTATATGTCTTGTGGCCGATCTCACTGACAGCGGTCGCATTAAAGATCTTGAATTTATCTGTGAATATAACTGGTAGCCGCCAGTGGTAGTGATGGTGACGGTGGTTTTGAAAAGTACAAAAGCGAGTTATTTTGCGAGGCAAAGCATTGGACGAATGGTATTTGCATGGGTGATCATGTGTACATTCTGTGTGGTAAGGATATGGTTAGAGAAGACAAGAATTATGAGGAGGCATCGTTTCAATTCTGCATCAAACATGGCACATTCAATGAAGAAGAATATATGGAGGTGAAGACACCATCACTGATGTCATGAGATGTGATAAATCCAACCACATAAAATAGATCGTCCAAGAAGGAAATTGGCTTGGTTTTATTCATAGGAGCAATGGTGGCTGCAAGGAGATTCGGAATATGTTCTTGAACAATATCTGCTTTTATTCCACGACAAAGATGATACAAAAACATTCAACATATTTCAAGCAGATACGTTATAAACCAGAAGTGTCACCTTAAACTTGGATTAATTACAAATTTAAAGTTTAAAATAGTTACACAATTTAGTGCTCCGCTTTATGCAGAATCGACATAGATGAAAGACTAACCACGATCCTATTGATTCTATAGGGTGCATGATATAGTTTATGGGGTCAAAGTCATCATACATAAAAACAAATAAAAACAACACTTGAATTGCAGCACCTGAGAAGTGAAATGGTAAATCCAACATCCCACTATCGAAACACTGAATTCGACACTTGATATGCGATACACATGAACGCCATTAAGATGAAACGATCCCCGAGAGGAGAGAGAATTATTGATGCTGAAGAGGTTGGGACAATGAAAGATATTGATTGGTGAAAGCATACTGCAAGAAAAGCAAGTAGCACTTGAAGTGCTGTCCTGAAACCATAGGGAAAAGGTTTAAGCAGGGATAGTGTTAGGAAAAGGTTACGATGAAGACGACATAGGTCGGAATATAGAAAAGAAGAAACTGGGAAGGGTCCATGATAGATATCCCCAATTTCTTTGAGGCGTTTCCACCTGCCAAACACCACCAGGCGGGCTAAGTGTGGCTTGGTAGGTTGCAGTTAGAAGCATTAATCCTAAAATTACCAGTAATGCATTACGGTTCTCGCCTGATATATTATCCATATCACGGAAAATCAGTGACGATGCTTTGGTGACATAACTGGCGGTTTATTTCTCCAACTTAGGTATAAACTTTGAAACAACTTGAATAAAGCAACCACGCAAACCAGTAATGCTTTCTGTGTAACCATGTTGTTGGGAAACACCCAGTGCCGTCAAACCAGCTTGATCATGGCATGCTTATCAGCCTTGCAGTTTAATAGTAGTTTAAGCATCTGTTTAATTGATAGTTTGAGATAAAAAAGCTACATTAATCAATTAATCGTCTCTATAAAGTACAAAACAATCAATGTAGTTTAATTATTAACACTAAGGAGTCAAACCTGGGCCTCATTGCTGCTAGCTGCTATGTGCAGTGCTGTGTTGCCATTTTCATCCTTTCGATTCACCACTTCTCGATGATAGGCTGTCTTCATAAGTGTCCTAAGTAGGACTTGGAGAACATCTAGCCTTCTGTTTTCCACGGCTATATGCAAAGCAGTGCTATTTGAGTTGTAACATCCAGGATACTATCAGGGCAAGCCTCTAGAAACCTATCCAGAAAGAAGTCCTGGTTTGCAACTTTACTTACATAGTGCAAAGGAGTCTTACTCTTCCTTCCTCTGACACGAACAAGATCTTTTTCGATCTCCAAAAAGCAAGGCACCTCTTTATGGCCTTTTTTAACTGTTAGTTTTAAATAACATGTTAGTCTTAAGCGTATTATTATTGTTCATGCCATAATAATATTTGACTATGAAACTTTTAATAATAATAATGTTATTATATGGACTTTATTATCTTTCAGTTTTTGTTAAACACAGACATAACTGATAATAATAGTGGCAATGCCTTTATTCAATAAAATCGGTAAATAAATATATTATTATAATCATCATATGATTGGTCTTTAGGTATACTCTAACAATAGATTAATTAGATCATCGGAGGAGGGAGCAGCCATTTGGTGGCAACAACGTAGTCAAGCGACAAGAATGGTTCGGCTTCCTTTTCGGTTAGCTGCTTGGTGAATGGCTCCCGCCCACTGGAAGATGCGCCTACCCCAGTGCACTTGTATTCTCCATAGTAAACAGTTCTACAAAAAAAATAATTATCATTATCATAATTAATCAATAAGATTAGTGTGTGACCATCAACTTACTTGGCTCTTTCTGGTTGCATGTCATGAGACCAGCCGGCAGGATTCACAACGTCGGTCATTTCAGTATAAGCATAAACAACTCTCGGACTGCTCTTCCATGCCCTCCCCAAAAATGAACCCTTTGCCGTTCCGGTGATTTTTCCGTGCACAATGGAGTACCCGGTGTCCTCCGATGAACTTTCTCTAGCATGTGCCGTGATTACTGTAAGTTTCGGTTCTATTTCTACAATATTTCCGTGTCCTGCATCCCACTTTCCAATCAAATTCTGGCATATCATATCTATATATATATATATATATATATATATATATATATCGTATTTCATGTGTTTTCTAACTGTATACCAGATATAAAGATTTCCCACTTCCAAAAATGAAATCAACGGTGCCTCGAATATAGCAATCCTTGAAGAAGTGGTTCCCCCTGTCATCGCACACTGTATCCTGAAAACCGAATATGTTGCAGCCATAAAATGCCGATCTGTCACCGGATATTCTCAAGGCAACCGCTTGTGCTCCTTCCCTTTTCCCATCAGGCTTCGGAGCACTGTTCTATGTATAATAACAAATTATTGAAAGTTAACAATGTATTCAATTCAAGGAAGAACATGTTGTTAAGAATTTATAAGTGGAGAAAATAAATAAAACGATAAACATGTAATACGTGTAAAAGATGAGATTTAACGATGTTCAATTTTTTTTATTTCTACTGGTGAAAAGAATAATAATCCATTATAAACGTATAGATCATCATGTTCATCATGAAATATATTCTAGGGTATGTACATATGTATTAATAATAGAAATTTTTGTATGGACGTATACAAATAAAATTCAGATTAGACATCATCAATAAAATAAACAATTAATCTAAAGAAATTTAGATTTCAATGTCTACCCTAGATAACATATACATGCACATGCTAAGGATACATATACATAATATCTCATGTGTACTAAAGTTTGATATTTATTTATTTATTTAAAATATCTCAAAATATTCTCTTACTATCTCTATAAAGTTAAACATCAATTATAATTTGAGTTAAAATATAAGCATATGTGCTGGTTAAATTCTGGAGCTTACTATTATGTTGAGATAAGCACCCACAAAGTAATTAGACAAGGTAGTGAGAGTGCCGCTGTCTACAGTTCCATAGTCCTTAGCGGTGGCATCAAATGTCAAATTGGGCATGTTTTTGGGGTCCCCCACCAATGTAACGTAAGGCTTGTCTCGAGGGATCGTGATTTTCTCTTGGTAAGATCCGGGTCCGATAGATATTATAACGCGTTTGCTGTTCCCGGCTGGAACGCTGTCAATGGCTTTCATTATGGTAGCGAAATCTCCACCGTCACCTTGCTTAACCTTTATGATTTTAGGTTCAGCCTCGGCCTGAACTAATTCTGGGTCTAAAGTGCCAGCCCTTTGACTGAGAGGCTTGATAACGCTACTGAACCAATCATTTACCTTGGATTTGTCCTCTGGTATCTGTGTACTCTGAGACTGAACGATCGGAGCAAAAAAGACAATCATGCATATTGCTGCATAAACTCCACCGTTTTCGATTCCTTTTGTTCCTGTCATTTGTATTTTTTATTGTTGATATTGTGTTTATTTTTTCGGTGACTCTAATTTATAAGATAAATTTGTGAAGAAAAATATGTAAACATGAGATTTAGAGTGATCCTCGCTCCGCCTATCATTTTTTATAGTTCTTGCATGCACCATTAAGCTTGTTGTGTAATTCAAATCAATACTTTAAGATGGTCCCACTAGTGACTTGACACACGGCATTAAAACTTCTGGAATGTTCAAAATATATTATTATATCATTTTGTAATTTATATTAGAATTAATATACTTTTATAAAATAGAATAAATAAAATTAATTTTAATTATACTTTAACTTAAATAATATTTTTATTAAAATTAAAATAATAATGTATAATCTTATGATTAAATATTATACTCTCCTTAAGAATTTTAGAATTTTAGGTTCAAATTACATCATAATCTATCATATATATATATATATATATATATATATATATATATATAATATATATATAGTTCATTAATTATATCATGTGTTATTATCTTATCCAAAGATACAAACTTACTAGGAAAAATACACATAAAATATCATATGACGATAATAACCTTAATTAAAGCAATATTAAAATTTAATGACTCCAATATAATTTCTGTATTGCGGAGGATTGTTAGGATGTATAAGTGTGATTGTTTTGATTCAAGTAACTAAAAAAGAGATTTGACTGAATCGAATATAGCGAGGTTTTGGTGCGATGATGTTGTCGATTTTAGATTCTCGAAAGCTGTGGGTAATTTTTGGGGTCTGCTGACTGTGTGGGATAAGAGTCGTTTTTTAAAGGACATATTCTTTCTTTTATTAGGAGGTATGCTTCACAGTTTTCGAATTGCTCAGTGTTGAATGCTTATGCTCCTTGTCATGTAGGCTCACTATGGAATGAGAATATGGTTGAGAGGGGAAATTTAATTAATAATTGATTCATGGCTGGTGACTTTAATGCCATTCGAAACCATAGTGAGAGAATTGGCTGCTCTTTTAGTCAAACTGAGATTGCAGCTTTCAACACGTTCGTTGCAGAGTGTGATCTTTTTGGTATGCCTTTAGCGGGGAGGAATTTTACATGGTTCAGACAGGAAAATAGTAGGAACCGCCTTGTTTTGTTGAGGATGAATGGCTTCAGCTGAGATAACAGTGATGTTATGAGAGGATTGTTAGTGTGGCTCTAAGGATATTAGATATGTCTTTCCCCGTTTGTACAGGATGCTTCAAAGGAAATTGGTTGTTGTAGAAATAATTGTTGGCAATGGAAGCTGGCAGGACGTTGTATGGGAGATTAGTTGCAAGATGCTTGCTGGAACGAGAAAAACACTGTCTGGGAGTGGTTAATAAATTGGTCATGTCAACAAGAGTTTGGTGGCGGGTGATTTGGTTGTAACTTAGGACAATAGATGAATTATTAGAATTCTGCTTTCAAGTCCGATTGCGAGGAGAAGCAAAATCTTTTTTGGTTTATTTATGCTGCTTCGATACTTTGAAATTTGTTCATGTCTCAAGATCGAAAATTGCAATGGCTGATCTTCTTGCAAATGCGGGTCTTTGTAGACAAGAATTAATCAAAGCGTGGTGGAAAGTGGGGAGAACGGTTCTGAAGAATTTTCTTTTTGTTCGTTGTCTTATGTTGTGGCGATTCATGGTCTGGTTTGTGGCTGCTTTAGGTTTTGGTTGAGGTTGATTTGAATACTTGCAGTTAACCTTTGGTTCTGCTTTCATGTTTTAGTGGTTTAGGGTGGTTTTTTGGGGTTTTGTTTTTGCTCTGTTGGCATGGGTGAATAGGTTTTGATGGGTTTACAGGTGTTTTTAGTTGCAATCTGTTATCTCTGTTTGTGTTGCAAGGTATATTGATTGCAGCAGGTTGTTGCAGGGTGCCTTCACGTTCAGCAGATTTTGATTGTGTTTGTTTTGAACGTTGTTCCAATGCTTGATTGTGTTGTAAGCTTGGGGTTGTGTTTTGTTGGGTGATTTTGTTGTTTGGTGTTGACTCTTTTTATATTGTCGGGGAGAATGTATTTTTTTTTCATCTTTTTAGAATTAGAGAGGTTTTTAACGAGACACTCTCATTGACTATTGTCTTTATAGTTATATTAATAAAAATTATAATTGCCGAGCAAAAAAAATTGTCTTAGTTTTAATTTAATTCAAAAAGAAAGTCATACAATTGGTTATTTTGACACATTTAAATAATGACATGTGTAACCATCTAATTGAAGTTTTTAATTAATTTTGTTATTTAATTTAATTAATTTTCTCATCAATTAGGTGGTGACATATATCACCGCCAATTTAAAGAGAAAAATGAGAGTAAACATTTATTGTTCAGAGGAATTGAACCAAATGCATCAAGCTTTCAGGGTCACACCTCACCACTTA